ATTGGGCTCCTCATGGAGACAGTGCCATCTCTGGGCTCCCCATTGGTCTCCGTTGTGGACGGGTTGGACATTCAGAGGCAGCACTAACCACATCCTTGGTTAAGTGGGAGTCCACGCTCTTGGGCCCGTCTGCAGCTTTCCTCCATTCAGGAGCCCATTATGCCGGTTCTGGGGTGGCCCATCAGGCAGGCCAGGTAACACCAACTGGCTGAGTTATCTTGTCCACTTGGTGTTCTGTGTGTCTTCCACGATGAGTGCTTTCAGGGGAGGGGAGCCTTAATGTGTGAGACACAAAGAACACTTTGTGTCCACTCCCCTGTGTTTATCCACGTGCCTCTATCCCAGTCCTGGTTTCCAACCTTCCGGTCCTTTTCCTTCCAAGTTCCTGGCCAAAGAACCAGGCCGTGGGCCATCGTTCAGGAATCTGTATATATTCTCACTTCGGGCTACTTTTCTTTCCAGTGTGGAAGCCAGCTGCACCGCCTGCAGATTGCCTATTAGAAAGATGTTCCCTCTCCGCTATCTTACACGGCCACCCCTGAATGCAGCTATAATAAAGCTCTGACAACTGTGAAGGAGAAGGGGAAGGAAGGAGAATTGGGTAGGAAGAGTCTGAGGCTGCAGCACAGCCCAAGAAAGGGTCGACCAGGCTGATGGGAAGTCCTTGAGCCAAAGTCACCCATTGGCGCAGCGCCATGGCTCACAGGACTAGGCCTGAGTGAACAGCTTGGCTGTGCTAGGTCGTTGGCTGGGAGCAGCCTGTGGGCCAATGCAGTGATGGATCCAGAGAGGCAGCCACTGAGGCTGTCAGTCAATCGTGTTCACCATCGCAGGAGAGCTAAGCCATGTGTTTTCATGGCTGCCACACGACTATGTCCTGTAACTCTAAAACAGTTACCATTGGCCCATTTATTTTTAACACTACCCAGGGCTCAAAAAAGTGTCACTTTGTGGTTAATCATGGAACGCAGCCTGTCAGGGCAGTGCCTTCTTGGGATTCCAAGACCTGGCTGCAAAGCTTCAACATGAGTTGGTTTCTTCTCTTAGCATTTCCTCTGCACTTTCTGTTTATAACAGTTTCACTTCACTGAAGTAGCTGCCTGTTGAAATACGACCAACTAGCAGGAAGATTCAAAATCATATTCACAGAAGGTGAATGGTTATCCTGCCCTTGTTTTAAGAGTTATCTAAATGGTTATTTACATCTCCAGTTACATAAAAGGATATTTTGGATCTTGTCTTGTGGATGGTGCTATTTATGATGTGCGT